TCTGGACGGCTGCTCACAGCGGCTGCCGGCCGTTCACGCTGGCTGCTGGCTACACACGGTAGCCCATGGCAACCCACTGCCGCAGGGGCTGCAGCCTACGCCGTCGCCGGGGACACACTGCAACCCAGCTCCAGGTTGAGCTGCTATTCTGCATCTTAGCTGCAGAGGGCAGTGTCACTGGCCCTCATATGTGGGATCCGAACCGGGGCTCTCTGGCGTCCCAAGCCAGCTCTTAACCAACACGCCACTCAGCCGGCCCAAGGGGACCTTTCTTTATTGGTTCACAGTGTCATGTAATCTCCGTTGTACTCTTGTTCTGTTGGCTGGCAGAAAATAAAATCTCGGGTCCGGGTTTCCTCAGTCACTTCATTGCTTCTGCTTCCCAGATGAGGAGGTAAGTAGGTGGTGCCCCGGCGCTGGGGAGGCGGCTGGCCCTGGCTGACATGCAATGGGCTCTGACTCGTCCCATCGGAACCCCGTCCTGAAGCATCTGGCAACGTCGCCCCCTCCACTCTGGCACTCAGCCCTCCACCCCCGTGCCCAGGCTCCAGCTCTATCGGAAGCTTTATCATCACACTGGAAGATGTGGGCTGGTTTAGCGTGGCAGGAGCTAATGCGCTCATCACTTAACACAGACAACAGGCATTTTAAAATAACTCGAGGGAAAGGGGGCGGGGTCCTGCAAACATCTACCCAAGTGCTCACCGGTGTGGGACACTTAACTGATCTGAGTCGCCGACACACACAAGGGAGTTCATCTTTGGCTCCTTTTAACTTAAAGTTAGCGCTAGAGTTAGAGTTTTAACTTAAAACCGTTTTTTTCCCTATAAAAATTCTCATGTATAAATCCAGGCATTGGACTTACCAATCTTAACAGCTGCTTATCATTGTGAGAGGGTATGTCGTCACAGAATCTCCCAGCCTGGATTCCATGGAAGCCTGGTTCCAGGTGACATGTTAGCAGGTATCTGCAACAAAAAGGGGTTTTACAAGTTTTTATATTTACATTGTATGTACTACACATATTTATGACAACTTTGGGCAACAACACAGATGCTCTCTTCACCGATATTCCCCTCACCAAGAAGTCAGGAGGAGAGCAACTGGCATAAACGGGCTTAGCAAGCTGGCTTGGCCACAGAATCTCTTGGGAGAAATTCCTACTGAGACACCTGTGCTCTGTAGACCCAGTTGGTTGACCCCTGCCCTCCCCTGGGTTTGCTGGATGCTTCCTCAGTGAGAACAGGGTCGTTACTTTACAGATGAGGGAGGTGGGCGCTCAAGCCACCCCGCTGGCAGGAGCATAACTAACTCAGGGCTCCTAGTAGCTTTTACAGAAAGCCTCGTGATGAAATTGGTGGGACTGTCAAAGGCTGACACGTGCCCTGGTGTTGGCCAGGACACACCCGGTTCCTACGGTCAGCTCAGGCCACGTGGTAACTCAGTGGGCCAGGTTCAAAAGTTCAGTCCTCACTGACCCAGCAGCAAACGCAACGGTCTTGTAAAAGGGTAGTTTCCCGGCAGAGGATGATGCCGCATTGCCCCCCAAATCCTAAGGTCCCACGCTGTGATTCACCTATAGGGGACCCACCAGCGGCTTCACACAGCAGCTCTCTGCCACAGATGCTTCAAACACCATTTGGTCTGCAGCCCGATCCCACTGTCTTCCCTCTTCTAGGCTCCGCATAAAATGGACGGCTTTTAGGGTTACCCGGTAAATGGGTTAAGAATGATGGTTTGGGCTCTGGCAAGGAGCCACACCCATGTGCTTGCTAAGGAGGAAGGGAATACAGACTGCGGAGTGGAAAAAGGCAGTTCTAAATGTCAGCTGTGACCAGGCGGCCAGCTGCAGAAACCAGGACGGTAATAGGAGTGTCTCTTCCTTATTTTAACACACATATACTCGTACTTATGTACAAATCAATAGTTTTCTTCCCCTTTTTCCTACCATCATTAATACATAACATAAGATGCATGAATAGTACTTCTATTACTTTATATTTCAGTATTTAAGCACTTTTTCAGTATTTAAATCACAGGATATATACTATTTTAATACTAATTTAAGTTACAGAGTATTTCAGTATTTACATTACAGGATATCAAAAGGACAGTATGACTCAGCTAGGAAAAAAAAATGAACATCACCCCAAAATGGATAAAGGGACTTTGAGTCCTTAACTGGGGACAAGTTTAGCATGTTTTTGGATGTATGAGAGATGATTTTATTATGTTTTGACCCGTTGCATTTCTCATCGGTTGAGGTGCCAGCAGTTATCACAGAAATACCGAATATCAGATGGGAAAGAGAGTCGAAGCAGTCGAATTCAGCCAGCACTCACGTGAGTTTAGAAATAACATTGCACTTGTCCACGTGACACAATTCAGCATCCTTGAAAAGCAGGTGTACCAGCCAGGTTGAGGGCAGTTGACGTCTTTGTACTGGAGGATAAACAACCAAAGGCCACTTGGGGGAACTCAGGCTGTCTTAGCCTCCTTAGAGTTTATAAGCAGCAGAAACTTTTC